CCAGGCGCGGCGCCGGGCACGTGGCGGGTGTCCGCTCACCCCGAGGACCCCCAGCTCTGTGGCCGGGATGTGAAGTCCTCCGGGGCCCCAGGCCCGAGGCCTCCTGTCAGCAGCACCGCTGGCTCTGCCTGGTTCCAGCGCCACCTCGCCCACTCACCTGAGCGCTGCCTCCGGCTGTGTGCTGCCTGCAGGCCCCAGGCACCTGGCCTCCAGGCACCTGGCCTCCAGGCCTGCCCCTGGGGCAACGCGAGTCCATGAAGCTTATTGCCGCCACTGCTGCCGCTGCTGCCGCTGCTGCCGCTGCCGAGTTCCTCCACGGCCCTTTCAAGGCCAGCACAGACTGAACACTGGCTGCCCCCTCCCCCAGCTTCTGCGGGCTGGGTCACACCTGCCTTCCTCTCCCCCCACCCCCATTTCCCTCCTTCCCCCAGCCCACTCCTGGATCTGCCCTCCGGTGCCTCCGAGGGCTAAAACGTGGTCTGTGTGATCTCACAGGGCCTCCCCCTGCTCCGAACGAGACAAAGGGGGGCACCTGTCGGGCCTGCCTGGCTCAGGGCTGGCTGGGAGCCAGCAGGAACCCTGCAAAAGACAGCTGTCGTGATCGAGTGTCTTCCTCCCCGACCCCTGTACTTAAAAAAAAATTCTGTATTGGCCCAAGTCAACACCAAACCTCCACTTTTCTTCCTGGATGTCTAGGCTGGATGCAGTGGGCAGGTAATGGCCACGTTTATGCTGCATTTCATGCTGTGAAAACACAGGTGTACACATAAATCATCCTGTCCCGGCGCTTTATTTAAGGGAGGAGCATCTCCGGGAGAACACCAGGCCCGAGCTCCGCAGGACAATGGAGAAACGCATTGTGTGAATCCCAATGCTCTCTCTCTCCCAGTACCTGGTGCGCTCCGTACGAACACGAGCTCTCGACTCGGAGAACAGGAACACAGCCACCCACGGGAGTCAGCCAACGGCACCCCCACTCCAGGCCGGGAGGGGAGACGGCGGAAGATCGCCACCAGTGACCGGAAGTGTCCCTTCTAACTCCCCTGCTCTCTAAGGGTGCCCGCGGACCGACTGCTCGGAGGTGACACTCCCGCGCCAGCAGCTGCTTCTGAACACGCTTCTGCCTTTGGTTTTCACGGGGGCTCCTCTCCCATACACACGGGCTCAGTGTGGCCTCTGTGAACCCTGGGCCCGAGGAGGCACGAGGGAGGGACAGGCTCTGGAGGCGTGGCCGGGAAAAGCACGGTGCCAACCTGTGGGTTCGTCCGGGAGCCTCCTGAGGCCCCGGCCCCGCCTGGGGGGGGATGAAGGGGCAGGCCGAGGATCGGGGGGGCGGGGACCTGGACTGATGACCCACACTGTGCCGCCTGTGTGGCCTTGGGGGCATCGCCCCAGTGCTGCGAGCCTCAGTTTCCGCATCTGTTAGAGGAGACGAGCCCCCCACACCCCAGCCCTCCCTAGCACTTTCCCTTCCTGGCCGCATCGTCCTCCCCAGGTCTTCACGCCACTCACGGTTCATTGGCCGGCCTGGCCTGGGCATTTCCCCAAAGCTCGAGACGCTGTCCGTCTTATCCCCAGACTCTCAACTAAGGGATCTAGTTGGCAAATGAAATTATCTGAAAAGTTTTACGCAGCGTGTCACTTTCCACACGACGGGGATTCATCCAATAGCTCTTGAGCGAGTCCATGACCCTTCGGGGGGTGGGGTGGCCCCCGTGTCCCGCCGCGTGTCACATCTCTCTGACGGCGGGACACCATTCCCGGGACACACACACAGCCGGGTGTCAAGCCCCACCGGCACGCTCACCCAACTCTTTACTCTCCACTTCGAGAACCCGAACCCACCCTTAAAGACGCAGGCCTGGGAATTCCCATGAAGATCGACAAGACCTTTCAGGTCCGTTTTCTCCGCCAGCCGGCTGGAGCCGAGTCAGAGCTGCCTTCTGCAGGTGGGCCTTGGGCTCCCCTGTTCAGGGTGGCCCCACTCCCCTCTCCCCATCCCCCTGCACTAGCAAGGGCGACAGCCAGGCCACCATCCAGCCACAGAGCAGCTCTGATCTACAGGCTCAAAGGGCCTGGGGCTCCTGGGCCCAGCCCAGGCGGCTACCTTGGAGTTTCTTCCCTGCTCCTCTCCAAACACCAAATAAGCATCGTTCACTCCCCAGCCTTGCCTGCAAGCAGCACCTCTTCTGGGGGCAGGAATGCCTCTTCCCTCCGCCAGGCATGCGGGGAACCAGGTGCCTTGCCTCTCTGGCCGGGAGAGCAGCAGCACAGGGTGATGAGGCCACAGTCGCAGGGCTGGGGTTCTCGGCCCACACGCTGGGTCGGGAACCACAGGCTCGAATCGCCAGACAGAAGCAGGTACCTGGGTGCTGATGGGCCCCCCATGGGTGAGCAGACCTACCTCCCGGACCCCCAGATCCTGGATGAATGAACCCTGCTTGCTGCCCCCACATGCCAGCTCACAGCCCAGAGAGAAAAGGCACGAAGTCCTTGAATTTCCTTCGGGAGGCCCAGAGATAACCCTCCCCGTGCCGTGGAGGGGAGATCGGACCCGAAGGTCCACTTCCGCCCAACATGCCCCGAGAGGGAGACCACCGCAAGCCGCTGCACCTCGCTGCCTCGGTTTCCCCACCCAGGAGGGGGCAAGAAGGATTTTTCTGCCAGTCTTTCAGAATTATTAGAAAACTTCACTTGGAAAAAAAAATACTGCCTAACTTAAGAAGCATCTTTATTCCCACACTACCTTAAAATCATCTCTAATCTGTCCTGTGTATCGATCCAGACATCCTGATTCAACAGTTTGTGAAATTAGTTAAGTGCCGTGTTCTGGGAGGGGAGGCGTCCTGATCTGGCAACGCGGTGAGGTGAGGGGGGTGGGTCGTGGGGAAGCTGGGGGTGGAGCATGGTGTGCAAGGGTCTGAGAGACACTTGGGCAGATCTCAGGCCCCCGGTTCCCCCAGGGGCCCCTCATGGGGTGCAGGTGCCCGCAGCTGCCTTCCTGCTCCACCACCAGCGGCTGCCCTCCCGGGAACCGCAGCTGGGGAGCAGCGGGCTGCAGACGGAGACCCGGAGCCAGAGCGAGCCCCTCTGAGCAGCCTCACCGCAGGCGGTGCCACAGCCCTCCGCGGGGCGTCCTGGCGGGGGGGCTTCCTGGAGATACAACTTCATTCCCAAAAACTCCGTGCCTCTAACTCACCCAGCGTGAATCAGGGGAAGCGCCCCGGGACGGGAAGGTGGGAGCCCAAGGAGCGGTCTCAGCCCCACCTTGACTTCTCCCTCGAGAAGCCCCCACACGAGGCGCGGACACCCGGCCGCTGGCAGCCGGCAAGCGAGCCCCATCCTTCAGCGTCAACACCGGCCGCTCCAACCGCGCGGCCGATCCCGGCGGCGGGGCGGAGGGGCAACTGGGCACCAGGACCGCGACGGGGCGCTCCAACAGCCGCCCGGGGACCCAGGCGGCCCGAGTCCTAAACACACCAGCACGCGGACGCGCGGCCAATCCCGTTCGCCCGGAGGAGTCGGAAGGCGCTTCCACAGCTCTTCATTCATCCCCCAAAGGCGAGGTTCCCTCGCACCAGCGCCTCCGTCCCCCGATCCCAGGGAGCTCCCAGGGGGCTCCGAGGGGGCAAATGCGCCATGACCCACCGCTCCTCCTCCCGTAGCCACCGCGTCCTCTCCACCGCACACACAACCCCACAGACTCGCGCACCATCGCGATCGCCGGCGTCGCCCCCACGCAGGGGCCGCTGCCACCACGGCTGCCCACGGCTTTGCCGCCAGCAGCCGCTGCTCCCCGCCACCCCGCCGCCCAGCAGCCCCGCCACGCCACGCCGCTCAGACCTGCCGCGCTCCGCTCCGCTCGCCGCGCCCAGGCCGTTCGGGGCCGCCGCGCCGCCGCGAGGAAGCGCCAGCAACTCCCAAGACTCGCTGCTTCCCCAACCGCGGCCCGGAGAAAGGAGGCGGCAGGGGGCGGAGGGCGGAGAGGAAAGGGGAGGGAGGGGGGAGCAAAAGTTCAGGCTGCTCCGGGCCCGACCGCGCCCCCGTCTCCTCCTAGGCCCGCCCCCGCGGTCCCCACCTCCGGAACACGGTTCCACAGGCTTCAGCGCCTGGGACACCCGGTGCCTAAACGCACCCCCACCCCGCACGCCTCCTCCGCGGAGCGCAGTTGCGACAGAGCAGTCGCGAGACGGGAGCCGGGGATCGGGAGGTGGCCCCGAGCCAGAGTCGGGGAGAGAGCGACGGACGCCCACCTACCTGCCTCGGCTGGCGCCGGGAAACTTCCCCGAAGTGTGCGAGGAAGCGGAACGCTTGGCTGGGGGATTGCAGCCCCCCCGCCGCCCCCACCCCACCCCCCCAACCCTACCGGCGCTCCCTGAGCGAAAGCACCGGTCTGCCCGTCCGTCCGTCCCCTGCCTGCAGCTCCCAAAGCGAGGCGGCGCGGGGGCGCCCACTCCTGGGGCCGTTTTTCTGGTCAGCCGACCCGCGAGTGCCCCGCGGCGTGCGCCCCCCGCAGGCTTCCGGCTGGCCGCAGCGCCACCACCCCGTCGCCCGGTCCCCGGTCCCCAAGCTCCAGCTGCATTCTCTGGAGCCAGGGAGGGGGCGTGCGAGCCCCGGCTCCGCCGGCGGCCAGCCCTTCCCCATGGATCCCCGGTGAGCGGAGCTCCCGTAGCACGGCAGGACCGGTGGCGAGGGGGCGCTACCCGCTGGGGACGGCGGTAGCCTCGTGGACGCCGAGCCCAAACCTGCCTCGGCTCGGCGTGCTCGCAAGTTCATTGTCTGCCTGGGCCGCCACCGCCGCCGTCACCACCATTGCGCCGGGAGCGCCGCGGGGAGTGAGGCTGCCGCGCAGCCTCTGCTGGCCGGGACTCCCTTCGCCCAGCCCCGGCCGCCGCCGGCGCTGCCGGGCGGGAACGTGGAAGGGCGCTGGAGCCCGGAGCCAGACACCCACCGGCCACCCCTCTCCGCCCCCATCCCCGCTCTGGGCAGCCAACTTGTACCTGAGAGACCCGAGTCCAGCCGGGAGCCTCTGCGGCTCCGGCTCCGCGGGAGCGCGCCCAGCCCTGCACCTCCAGCCCCGCATCCAGGGCGCGCCAACCTGACTCCCCGAGCGCAGGGAGGAAAAGTTTGGGAGTGACGTGCAGATGGCGAATGAAACATCCGAAGAGAACCCTCCCCCCGCCCCGTGCCGCGCCGACACACAGCGGCTCGAGCTTGGAATGTGAGATTGAGGCGTGTGCGGGCGCCTGGCGGGTTTGGTCTCTGCCCTCTCCCCTCCCAAGTAAACACAGCCCCGGGGATGCGGTGATTTTTCAAAGAGAAAGCAAACCGAGCCCCCTAAAGCCTGCCAGTGACGCCCTACCGAAGGCATCTTTAACGAACCGGGCGGTCTGGAGCCAGCCCATACATTGATATTCAAGGCCACCGCGCTGGTGTGCTCTGCGCCCTCTGTTGTATTTTTTTTGCATCCCGGGAAGGCTCTCCGGGTTCTTGAGCCCAGCGTGTTGGCTCCTGTGGGGAGGGAAGGCTCGGCGGGCCCCCGAGCGCCGCCGCCTGCCGCAGTGGCCTCGCCGCGGCTGCCCCAGGAAGCCACCTGGGGCTGCCCGAGGTCACGGGAGCGGCATCGGTGGTTGCGTCCCCGGATTCTGGGGTGAAGACACTCTCAGCGAAAGAAAAGACACTTTGAATTCTGGAAGACTCAAGGGGCGCTTAGAGCACCAAGCCCAGCCGCTCGGGAAACAGGTCCAAGGGACAGAAAAGAATCCTTGTCTGCAGTCACGCAGGCCTTTGCCTGCCCATGTCCCCGTGGCCACGGTCCAGAGCCCTCCTCCTTCTGTCAGCCAGAAGTGGGGCCCAGAGCGCTTCCTCGCCAGAGTGCTCGCTCACCACCCAGGGGTGCTTGCTGGCAGTGCCTGGCCCCCGGTTCCTCTTCTTCTTTAAAAAAAAAATAAGTGATCTTTAGTGCTGGAGGATTCCACTCACCCCCCAGAGGCAATAACCACGCATGGTGGTTAAGGCGGAGGTCACATCAGAGGACCGACAGCTGCCACTGGGGAGACGGGACAAGAGGGCACTTCTGCTAAACCTGGACCTTGTTTCTCTGCAAACAGTGCTGCTTCCGTAACACCTACAAAGAAAAGACCAACGGAGCAAAGCGACCAGCCTTAACCTCTCAGACCAGATTGCTTTTTCCGTATAGACTCCGCTTGGTGATTTTTGTTCTTTCTTTCTTTCTTTTTTTTTTTTTAACAAAACCCTTTTTCTGGAAATACAATGAGCTGCTTTTTGCAGGGTTCATAATTCCCAATAGATGATGATGCCATTTTTCAAGGTCTTAACACACGTTGTGGCTTTGGGGCTTTATTTATTAGCTCCCCCCCCAAAAAAAAGCCTGCCTTTCAGTGAGGTTTATATACTCAAGTAATTGCATCGGGGGGCACAGCGCAGGGCGCTGTGAAAAGGGTGGGTTGTGCAAGCGCCGGCAAGGAAGGCCCTGGGCCAGGCAGCTGTCAGACGGGAGTGTGCAACCGGTTTAAACAAACACAGGGAAGGTTCTATGGAAACACCGAGGAGGAAATCCCTCCTGTAAGGGCGGGCCGAATGTTATTCCACCACCGTGCCTACCGCCCCGCCGTCTTTCCTCTCCTCCGTCCAAGCACACGCACGACTCCGTCTGGAGATGGCGCTGGGCCCACCCAGATCCCTCTCAGAGTCAGGTGTCAGAAATCACAGCCGACACGGAGCAAATTGTTTTTAAGTAAAAGCATGGAGCCACTTTGATACGAATCCCACCAGGGGATTTCCAAAAAGGTATTTAGGCACATGCCCGAGATTAACTGCAGGGCGAGTTTTTCCCTCAGCATTAATTTCAAAATATGCCCAAGAATTGCACTTGAGCCTGGTGTCCCGGAGAGCTGGGAAAACACCCATCAGCAAGAGGTTAAAAAAAGGCAGATAATTTGAGAAAACAAAGATCCCCTTCCCGTATGCACAGGATTAGGAGGCCATGATTCTGGAGTTAATCACCTGGGTTCAAACGCTACTTCCCACACCTACTACCACGGGCAGTCACTTGGACAAGCCCTTTCTAGTGCCGGATTGATTGATTGATTGACTGACTGATCCCATGGGAGGGGGGCACGACTGGCCTCCATCCTTGTCACAGGCTCCTAGGGCGTGTGCTTCCCCATTCCTTGACTCTGGACTTGGCCACATGACTTACTTTAGACAATGAGATTGGGGGGCCGGTGGCTGAATCAGAGATTTGAAGGGTATCAGAGGCTGGGCCTGCTCGCCTGTGCTCTGGTGGCCCGTCACGAGAAGAACGCGTCCCAAGAAGCCGCTGCCTCTTCCAGCCAGGTTCCAGGGAGCGACCCTGGACCCCACTCGCGGGCTAGCGCCAAGCTGGACTCAGAGCTGCCCCAGCTGACCCTCGGGCACGTGAGTGGGGCCGGGGCAGGAGGCGGGGTGCTCGCTGTAAGCCAGGGAATGTTGGAGTTTTGTTACACAGCGTTATCGTGGCAGTAGCCGGCTGACACATTCACTCAGTGGGCTGCTGTGAAGATCCGTGACAAAATAGTTAACGAATACTAAGCACAATTCTTGGGATATAGAAAGAGCTCGGCAACACTAGCTCATATTAGTAACTAACATTAATGGCAGTACATTTGCACAGTAACATAACTTTTTAAACTGATTCATGGAGTCAACGAACAAGTATTACTTGGACAAAGATTCTGTGAGACATGGGGCAAGGACAAGGCCAACCTGGAAGACCGGGGTCCTGCCGCGGTCCCCAAATCACAGTCACTCGCTCATTCATTCAGTCATTCATTCAGCAGATAGTTCCTGACACCTACTCTGTGCCGCTCACTGGAGTGACTGTCGGAGCCACTGAGCTGACCACGTCTCCATGCCCTGCCAAGGATGGGGGCCCACAGACCCCACCGTGTGGCCAGCGCTCTGCAGAGCCCTTCCCCTTCCTGCATCACGTGACCCTCACAACAGCCGTGTGAGCCAATGTTAATTCAGCCCCATTTTTCAGGCGGGAAGACTGAGAGGCCCAGACATCAAGCAACATAAGGAAAGGACCAAAGCCACCCCTTTCCTGTGCGCTAGTGCCAATAGCTCAAGTCCGTGGTGGGGACGCCGGACGGGAAAGTGCGATGAGGAGAGAGAAACGGGGTGAACACAGCCAGGGCCGCCCTCCGTGCCGCGCGTGTGCGAGGTGCTCAGGAAGGGCTGAGGCTCCGAAGATCGGGCTTTGCTCCTGCCCCCAGGGTCCGTGAGACCCTGAGCCCCTCTCTGCCCTCAGTTTCTCCGACCGCAGGGGAGATGACCTTGAAAGCTGCAGCTCTGGCATTTCACAGAGCTGCGAATTCAGGAGGAATTGCTGCAGAAAGTCCATTTTAAGGGGGTGAAAGGATGAAAATCAGTTCTGGGAACTGTTCCAACAAGGCAACGGTGGGGACAGCGGACACCGTGGGAGGAGGGGAGGGGAGGCCAGGCCTTGGGCACCACTGGCTCTAGGCCCCAGCTCCCCCGCCTCGGCCTTGCCTTTGGTCACTCCACCCACTCCACCGTTCGGGCATTGAAGCTGGAGCCTGGGGGTCTTCCACCTGCCTCCTGTCAGAACGCAGTGCCCCCGAGGGAAAAGCCATTTGAGATGCTAAGGGCCTTCATTATCGGGGAACGTGTCAATTTTCAGTTAACGCTTTTGCAGACACTGGGATGAGGTTTCAATTCACCTTCACCTTATTATTCCTACATCAGAGATTGTTTCCAAGGGGACCGTATTGGGGGGGGTGTGCGGGGCAGGGCTGCTGGAGTCAGAGTCCATTTGCTGGGAAAGGCTGTGCCTGGGGGAGGGGGGAGGGCCCGGGGGGTCAGGGCACAGGCTCTCGGATTCATTCTGGGAGACCCAGCTTCAGGTCTCTGCCACCCACCTGCCTCCAGCCCTGCGACTCTGACGGATTTAGACTTCTCGGCAACCTGAAGTGCATTTCAATTTCATAAATTTAGAAATACTCTGGTTAGACAGATTCCTTCTGCAGTAACACATCCATTAAGTGCACTTTAAGCCAATTTTGGTATGCTAATCCATCACAAATCGACGGGAAATTTAGCTTCTTGCGAAAATTTCCTACCCCCGATCCAAGACCTCTGCTGAATTTAGGATGCTAACAAGCAGTGGTCCCTTAAAGCTGCAGCCTTCAGCTCTGCAGCAAAACTTCAGTGAAGCGAGGAATGGGACCCGTTTTAAACGAACACCTGAACTAGTGTGTGCACGTGAGAGCTGTTTGCCGGAACAGGGTCCCCAGGGGACAGTTCCTTACTCCAAAGATGCGACCACCGCTTGCAGTTTGGGGCATTTACAATATTTGGGAGCTCCCTCCTGAGAAGCCTGAGAGACTGTCAGCCTTCGGAGGGCAGAAACGGAGTCGTATCTCAATTTTCCCAGCCCCTAGCTCAGAGCCTAGCACAGCCGACAGGCCCGGTGCATCCCTGGTTGCATGCATGGTGCACGACTAGGTTGAACTCGAGCTTGAGTGACGACTTGTCCAACAGACTTAGTAAGATTTTCACTGTGTCCTAGAATCCAATGTTCTGCCCACCAATGATGGTGGGGGTCCCAAAAGCACAATCAGAAACCTCTGAAGGAAATTAGACGAAGGCCGCGAGTGATTTTAATGAGGACAGCACCGGCGCAATGATGCCCCGCTTTATTCTGCAGTGCGTGAGGCCGGGAGGGAACGCGTGGTCAGTAACTGACGATACAAAGAGCCTACAGGTGGTGAAAGAGACATAACGGCATTGTTCTCCCGGGCTGAGACTCTGTTGCTACCAATTGTTGAAGAGAGGGCCTATTATCTGCATAATACACATTTCCCCAACAAAGCTGACAGCCGGCAGCGTTTGCATCTTCAATGCTTCTGTCATGAGATCTAACAGCAAAAATGGGCTGTTGACTAGGGAAATGTAGAGTTGCATTGCCTGCCCTAGACATGAAATACCTGAGCCTTCAGAAGAAATTTCATTGTCCTGGTTGAGCGTTGAATGCCGTCACATGTTACAAAGCGGCGCGCGCGAGCCAGTGGGAAGGACACACCCACACAGCAGGAGTCTCCAGCTGTTGCTGGCGAT